CTCTCTTTCCATTTGGGACCGATAGCTAAAGGCGGCCGCTGCCCCTGGCAGCCCCCGCGAGACTCACGGCCGGCCTTCTCCAAGGAGCTATCGTGCAAAGCGTGGGGGCGGCGGCCGCCAACCCTACGATGCTCGCGCTCCAAATCCCTCGCTTGCTCAAGGGCGCTTCGCTCCCCGTCATCTTTCAGTCTACCTCCGCGGACCCACACACGAGGCTCGAGGACTTCACGGACTTGCTCCGCATGCAGGCCGGCGGGGTAGATGAGAGGCGGCGCATCGAGGAGCGGCGGATCATGCTCGCCACCTCGCTGGGCGCGCTCTACCAGCTAGTCATCCAGCCGTCGCCCTCGGTCTCGACTGCAAATACCTTGGTAAGCCGCCTGGCCGCCAAGATTCTGACCGCGCCTCAGCTTAAGCTCTCGCTGGCGGACCAGCTGGCCATCCTCGCGACGGCCGTTCATGATCGGCAGCACCTCGTCCAACCGGGGGCCTCCGCGGAGGATGGTGGATGCGGTGACCGCGCTGGTCGCGGAGGACCTCCTCTACGACGCGGGGCGCCCCGCGCCTGGCGTGGCAGGCGGGCCGGCGTCCTCGGGCGACCAGCCGCCGCCGCCCAAGCTTTTGGAGAAGGCTCTGATGATGCCCAACTTCCAGGCTCTGGCCGCCAGCCTCGAGGGCGCGGACGCACAGTCGGACGGACCGCAGAACCGCGCGATCTCGGGCGATCTCGGGCCGCGCCGCGCGATCTCGGGCGATCTCGCGCTATCTCGGAGCTCCACGCCACGCCGCCCCCCCCCCCCACCCCCCACCCCACCTCACCCACCGCCGCGCCGCGCTATCTCGGGCGATCTCGGAGCGTCGCTCGCGCGGCGTCACACCTGCTCAAAAAAAAGGAAGGGCCTGGTTGGAGCCACGGGGCTCACGAGGACGTGCTCGCTCGGTTCTCGCCGCCTCGCCCTGCGCCACTTGGGCCGGTGAGGCGGCGCCCCGCGCGGCGCGTCCCTCGCCCCGTCACGCCGACCCCTGCGCGCACCGCTCATCTTCAGCCCTCTCGGGGTTACTCTTGCGCTCACGCAGGGGAACCCGGCGGTACTCCCTTCCCCCCACCTCCGACGGGTTAGGTCGGTTCTGCGCCCCTTTGGCGCCTGTGCATGTCCCGCGTGCCCGCCTGCCAGGGCTGATGCCAAGGCCAAATCAACAACATGCCCGGCTGATGCCAGGGCCAAACCCACTGCCCGGCTGGTGCCAAGGCTCAATGACTCTCCTCTCCGTCTCTCCCCTCCCCTACTCAGACAGGACTGATCCGCACGACACACGACACACTCTCTCCTACTATCCGACAGACGCTGTTTG